TTCTGGATGCCCTACTTCAGTCCCATTGAAATTTGGTACTTCCATTTTGAATCTTTCTCCTGAAAGATCTTCTATTCGTTTTCTTGGAGTCTGGATCAATATAAACAACTCTTCAACTTTTGTCAAATACCAATGTATAGATACAATTCGATCCTTCACTACTGTACTTAAGAAAAAACCTTTAACAGATAAACAGATTTGTTATATTACCAACATGATTCTCTTCTCTCTTTTGGAATACCACCTACAGACTATCCCATTATCCAAAAATAAATGCATTAGGATATCCTCTCCTATTAGAACACTTATTAAAAATAATTCACACTTTGCTATCTCTACTCCAAATTGCCTATTCACTGGAAATATCTTTTACCAACTAAGAGATTTATGGAATCAACAACTCCAATCTTTCTCAACAGCACTTTTATATCAATTTAACTCTACTTCTCTATACCATCAAATCTCATGAATTAGACTTTTTCAGTTACAATCTAATGAAGGACTCCATGTTTCTCCTTTGGCATGCTGGAATCGACCATATGATAACAAATCCTATAAAAATCTAATTGGAGCTATTATTAGCTTACTCAAGCATGATTGTATAGATCTCAATTTCAGAATAAATGACATGTTACTGAACAAAATCAAAGGCGGCTCATTGCCATTAGATTCCATTCTAACATCAACACAATTGGCTCAATCAATGGTTATGATAAAGAAATATAAACTGACTTTCCTCGATCAATTTTTGGCTACTGATAGATTTTCTTTACTCTCCTGGGTTGAAATAATTAGCCGTTCTTGCTATTCTACTATTTCACTTCCTTCTCCTAAACTTCCTAAAATTTATACATTAGTTTCTTCTTTAGTTTTAGATAGTCCTGATAATAATATAGTTAAAAATATTTTTAGACTAGTTTCTAATAGTTTATTTTTTTCTCCAAGTTTAGATGTAGATATTAATAGTAAAACTAGAGAATTCGTGTCAGTTTTTCACACCCAATCAAATCGACCAATCACTGAAAGGATCCTGAGAAAATACCCTACTGATAATTCACTGGCTTATTAACACTTTGTCCTTGCTTCTAGAAACAACCAAATCCTTCCTCAACACATAGAATGTTCTATTATTTCTTGTGATGGTTGTGATATTAATAATTCACAACTCTTGGATGTCCTTAAAAGGCCTCATTCTAAAAAAGGCAGCCCTCCATTGAAATCTGTCACTTGTATGCAGTCTTGTAATCCAGCTCACACTGTTATAATTAAAAAAGCTAAAACCTCACACCCAAACAAGGGTACAAGTATTATGACACAATCACTAAAGGAGATCCTTAATTCCCATAATTACCGTTCACTTAGACAACAATCGTTTAGAATACAATAACAATAACAAAATGCTCCTGTAATGCCTTTAGTCTCACCTCCTATCATTCCTATTAACCATACTTTAATCGATGATCTTATTGAACAATCTGTCTACCGACTTCAACTCCGACAGCTCTTTACTACCTTCTCTGATGTATTTTTTACTTGTAACAATGCACCTAACATTTACACTGATGGTTCATTAATGAATGCTACAACAGTTAATAGTTGTATGAGAATTGGTTAGATCTCTCCTGATCTACATAATCATGATTACTGTTCTTTTTCTGCTGCTATTCAACATCATCCGTCTTCAATAAGAGCTGAATTATTTGCATTACTGACTGCTTTAATTGTTTGTCCTCCTTCTTCATCACCAACAATTTTCTTGGATAGCCAAGCGGTAATTCAAGGCTTTCACAGTTTGTTTAACAATATTCATATGACTCATTCTGTTAAAAAAACCCCAAACTATACTGTTTGGACTTTAATCAAACATATTGTTATTTCTCTCGACCTACAAGTTTCGTTTATCAAAGTTAAGGAATACTCAGATAATTTCTATAATGATAAAGCTGATTTACTAGCAAAACAAGGATGCCAACTCATCCCTTTCACATTGAATGTTACTTTAACAGAAGATATTAGACTTGTGTTATCCTTTAAGGAAGTTTCTATTGAATCTTTCTCTAGAAAATTTTGGAAAGATCTTTGTGCTGCTTCGCAATTTTCTGAATACTTAGAACTGAATAGAAATTGTTCAATCAAACAACAGACCTTAAATAATGAAATATCTTGGCCCTCAACCTTACTTTATTTAGCTGATAATGACAATGGAAATAAGTCTTCTACTTTTTTACAATGAAGTAAAAAGGCTTTCAAAATTAAACTCCTTACTGAGTAACTGCCTACATTATCAAAATTGGAAATCAGACGTCCAGATATTTATAAAGGCTGGAATTGTACTCTCTATAACACCACTCCTGAAACTGCTGATCACTTATGGACTTGCTCCTCCAATAAAGTTAAATTGATCAATATATCTGCGGAACTCATAGATTTTCTGATGATCTACTCCTGTCTAAAATTGATAACAATAGATTACACTCTTACCTCTCGATCAAATAACAATTTTTGGAATCCTTTAATTTTACCTCAAATCCCACTAAGTTTATACAATTAGTGAAAGGTTTTATTCCTAAATCTTTAGTTATTCACCTTAAATCTCTTTTTTCCCAGTCAATTGTAGACCAAGTATTGGTTACAATTTTGGGTAAATTAAATGACTCTATATACGAATTGATTTGGATTCCTCGTTGCAAAGCCATGGTTAACAAAGAACAGTCTCTCAATATTGGAGTTAAACTGAAGAAGAAGAAAGTAAAGTATAAAGTCAATGGCTGATCTCCTTCTAAACTGAGAAAATCTTTGGTTGATAATTGGAAGACTTGGTTATATTTGGCTCTCAATTTTGGTTATTCCTGGTATGACTTCTTGGGACAGTGCTAATATGTTCATTTAGATTTTTCATTATTTGTACTCTTCTCAAGAGTTTTCTTTAGGAGGGTACTGAGGGAGAATTTTGGTGATTGGTCGATCTAAACTGGTTTGAAATAGAACTACGAGAGATAGTTAGTCTTTATTTTTTGTATTTACTTTTTTAATTTTTAATCTAGTTATTATCATACAATTTATTAATAAAGTACTGACAGTACCACATCTTAAAAAAAAAAAAAAAAAAATTATTTCGACTAGTAATGCAAATTAGGTAAGTTTTTAAAATTCTCTGAAAATAACTAAGACATATATTAGTAAAATTATTACAATTTATAAAACATAATCTCAATTTACTAGTATTAACATTTCGCGTTCTCTCATAAGTGATTCTTGTAATTCATGATAAGTTCTTTTCGTCATGGTAGCTGAAAATGTAATTTTCAACATTTTAGCTTCAACAGATCAGACAATACACAACTGATATATAGCTGTAGTTTGTATCATTCCATGTTTTGTATGCCATTTATTTAAGACCTTTACTTTTATATAATAAGGTTTTAAAAAATGTTAAATTATAAATGGCATTAATATTATAAGTCTCAACACATTAGAAAACATAAAACTTTGGCGATGTCGTAATGGATTCAGCATACGACTCAAATGGGATAGTTTTCGATATTTCTCCAATATTCTATAAAAGCCTTTTCGCCAGTATGCTAAATGTAGCTTCTAATAGAATATGTTCTTTTTCAGCCATAGAATGGTATGCATCCTGTGGTATCTAGATGTGTCAATCCCATTTAAGTAAATCAAAAGGTCCTTGTATTAACAATCCGTATTCAGTGGTTAGTCATTTTTTAGTGACTTTTGTATGTTGACTATCAATCTCTAAAAATTGTTCTTCTGTATCATAATGAAAACGCGTATTTCTCATATGGTCATAACTCGGGTTGGTAAGTTGATTGTTTGTAATATTACACATTTGACAACTATGGATAGCACTATGTTGTTTTACACCTGCCAAGTCATTACCTTATGGCAGGTCAGCTGTAATGCAGCCAATACCACCTACAATCCAAGTATCACCATATATTGTTTGCATGATGAGACCATTTTCTAAACATTTTATTTCTTCAAATATTGGTTTAATAAAGTCATCAAAATTCGTCCTAAATGGAACAAATCCAATTAGAAAACTATTTATAAGTAGCTTTTGAAAAGACAATAGCATATTGCCAAACTGCAAATACACGCTTCCTAAAGAATGGAACACGTTCCTGTAAGTACCAAAATCATTAACATAATTGTCAAGAAAGATCTTTAGAATAGGTATATTTTGCGGTGATGGCTTAAGCCAGGGTTAGCATTTGGCCATTTGGTCAACATTTGGTCATGGCTATTTGGCCATTGGCCGCGACCAAAATGGCCAAAATTTTTTTCAAGTTTTGGCTGACCAAATTGGCCAAATATATATTTATATTTACCAATCTGATAATTCTAATTCAAATAAGTT